ATAATTGAAAAATGCCAATCATGTAAAAATTTATATAAATCTATTAAAAACTCATTTTTCAAAAAATTGTAAAAATGAGCTGTTTCTATTGACAACACCCCATATAATTATACATTGCTGTTATACTAGAAAAATATTATTTTAATTATATAGAGAAAGCTTACATTCAAATTTTGTAAAGATGGTAAAGAAATTGTTATTCAGACTGATCTTATTGATAACAATTTAGTCCAGTTTGGAATGAAGTTCATTACCTTCTGGCTAAGAAATAGAGTTGGTGGTACAGGATACTTGGCAACGCCAATGGTGCACCACTAAAATTATAACTGCACCACCAACTCTACTAAGAAAATCGATTATAAATTCCTTTTCGATAACTAACCACATGTTTCTTAATATCTGTTTATTTTTAGATATTGTATATCTATTATATTTTCATGCTATTTAAAAATTCTACCTAAAGCTCAATTGAGATCAATGAAAATAAAATTTATAGATGGTAATACTGTCAAAATTCTTATGAAGAACTTCGAATTCTAATCAAGGCAAATTTATATATTATTTATGTTATTTGAAATCATTATTGTATATCAATATTATAACTTTATTTTCTTTAGATTGACATGACCGTTGGTAATATATCACTAGTAGATCAATTTGAATGAGACATTAATTGTCAAAAAAAATGATCCTGAACTTTTGCGAAAATTTTGACTACTGAATTAGATTTCGGAGGTGAATTTAAGTATGTTAATAGCCTCGTTATTATTTTATTTTATTTAGTTGATAACTATACTTTAATATATATGTTTATTATTATTATTAATTAGAACCACAATAGTACAACTAATTGGAAATAAATTCAAATATATATAACTCTTTAACCATCCCTTTGATGGGTCACCTATACAAGGTGATAGATAATCTTCAGCAAAACTTTTACCTCCCATTACAAATATAATTCGAAGAGAGGATGTCGTTGAACAACATACTCCATTATTGGTATAATTAACTGAAACTGAAAATTGATAAAATTAAAACAGAGAAAGAGACGCTAGGCTGAATACAATCTTATTTATTGTAATTTTTATTTTTATTTCACTAAACTCTTGTTTGTATATTAGATATAAGAGACATCAAACTTGTGATAGATGAGAGGTGTCATATTACCAGATTGTGAACCTCCAAAAACCTATCGTATACTTCACCCTAATACTACCTATAAGAAAAGTGGACTGAGTTGTGGCTTCGAAATGGTACAGGTGTGTGACATGTAGAGGCACATTTTACGTGATGGCATAGTTAAAAATGACAGCAAAGTGGTGGCAGTATTGAGTGATGTATATATGACACGTGTCTCAGAGCAAAGGTTCAGTAAATATTTTTTTTTTTTTAAAAAAAAAAGTAATATCTCAAAATTTTACCGATAAAATTGTTCTGGGTAGAGGTCCAATCCGGATAAATCTGTCATCCATTTATCCATATCTGAATTTATCCGGATATCCATTTACTATTAGTATCTGGATAATCCAAACAAATATTCAGATAATTATCCGGATATCAATAGTAAAACGGATATCTGAATAAATTCAGATCTGGATATCCAACGGATAAATAGATAAATGGATAATGGATAGAAACTCTAGTTCTGGGTATCTTAACGAAAGAAATTCCTCATAGAATTTTACAATTACTTTAACTTCAATACGTATTATTTATGATTATGTTTTAGTATGTACAAAACCTGAATCATTAACATCCAATTGGTACTGGTATATGATCCAGAATTTGCGCCAATTTGAACCTCTAACGTATGAAATCCGGGTTGATACGTGCCACTGAACCCGTGCTATTCCTCACTATCCTGTACAATTACAGTACATTTTTCTTATAGGACCATGGTTCGATCCTGCTGATGAAACAGTTCTTTCATCAGGCATACTACCAGTTTTATATAAAGCTAGTTCTATAAGATACGATAATTAATCTAAGTCTTTAGCTCCAGGTAAAATATGAGGAAATCAAATATCATTAAACTCTATGAAGTAGGATGTATCACTTATAAAGTCACGAAAGTTAAATAATATTTATTTATCAAAATATTGGAATTTATTTTGTATAATTGAAACAAGATATATTTATTTATGCCAAAATTCTTTTTTGTTTAATATAAAAATGCATATACATAAATCCTGCCATACAAATAGTTCCATCCTCCTCAATTTTTTTTTATAACGCCATTCTACCAAAATTTCTCCATATGTAAATTTTGATTTGCGAGGCTGTTTTTGAGATTTTGTTGTAACTAATTGTAAAAGTGGATCAATATCTATTTCAGGTTCGTGTATTGCAGATATATTTGACTTATTAGATAATTGAAAATTTTCTTGAATTACTATGTAAGTTTGCTGATTTTGTTTGTAAAATTTCTGCCCCCATTCATTAGAGTCAAAAATTTTAGCTAAAGTTTGATATGCACTTGATCTCTGAAAAATACATTTATATATATTTGTTTTAAAATAATGAATATGGCCTTTAAATAGACCAAAAAATAAACTTTTCATACAAGGTATATGAAGACTCTGGCGTCCCATATGATTAAAATTATTAGAAAGTTTTTGATGAATAAGAAATACTAAAGTTTGCTTAAATTCTTTTAGTACTGTTTTTGGAATTCGTTTAATATTATCAGAAGTTTTGTTATATTTTTTAATAATAGTATTATGTCGTGTTAAACCACCTGGTGTTTTAAAATGTTGTTTACAAAGTGAACAAAAAATTATACTTTGATTATTTGAAGACATTGTAAAGTATAACGATAATGGTAATAATTAATTTAGATTTTAATATATATATATATATAAATATGATTTGCAAATCAAAAATTTTAATTGGTTAATAAAGCTGTCAAATGATTGACTTATCATATTTGGTCAAATTTAGGAGCGTCAACAATTTTGACATATACTACGAATTAGTGGATATGCTAGTTCATTTAATGTATTGATTAGAATTTGTTTTTGAAATGTTGCAGGGTATTGTTGATCAAGTGAGAAGATAGAGAAGTCAGGATCAAAGAGAGTTGTTGTAGAAGTATCTTCTTTAGGTATGCAGGAAAGAATTTGAAGGAGTTGTTGAAGAAAAGTGTGGAGAGGTTTTGAAAATTGTGTTCTGTATTGTTAGAAAGTATTAAGCAGTCTTTGTCTTTGCAAGTGTAAATATAGTGAAGAGCTTTTTTTGATATTTGAAAAAAGCAAACTTGAAGAGATATAAGCTTTGTAATTTGAAAGTCAGGGGATAGTAATTTTTTGCATTCTTTAGCTAGTGTAGTTGCAATTTGGTATTTGAGGTAGTTTCATACTTTTTTCTCATCAATCTTATTGAATTATTTTTGGTAGGCTTTAAAGAAGTTGTCAAACCAAGAGTTGAAATTATTAATATGTAGTTTGAGTAAGAGAATTTGAAAAGAATTTGTAAATTTAGTTTTGGAAATATTAAGTATGACAGTAACTATAAAGTGATTATTGTTACAGATAGTTAAGAGAGGTTTTTTTGGATTGTCATATTTGAAATTATATTGTAGTGAAAGATGGAGTAGATGAATATAAAGTTTTTTCAACAAGTTTTTGATAATAAATTGTGTTATATTTGTTGTAAAGAAATAAATAAAGATAAACAAAGTTGATTGCTACTTTGCAGCAATCTGCAATAGAGTAGAGAGAAATAGAATAGTAAGATTTAAAAATATAAAGATAGTTGAGCTTAGTAAAAAGAAGTTTTGTAAATTTGGTAAGTAAATTTTTAAGAGTAGAAGTGTAGGTATATTGAGAAATAATTAATTTAGGGGCTAGTTTTGGGTTTGATTCTTGAAGAAATTGGGTAAGAAATTCTGGTTTTTCTGTAGCTATAGATTTAAGTAAGAGGTTAAAGTTTTGTTTTTGGGAAGGTTTAGAAGATTTATCTTTGTCAAAGGTTGAAACAGGTTGGCCTGGAGTGAAATTATAAAGATGAGTTTTGGTAAATTTAAAAAGTTGTTGTGCAAGTGAAGTATTAGTTTGGTGTTTTGTTCTATTTCTTGAGTAATTGGGTAATTTGCAAACTAGTCTAAGTCTTGAGAAGTATCTCTAGCTTTGGGTTTATTTGTTTGTTTGCGTGGATTTTGTTTTATTTTCTTAGCTCTATTAGCAAGTCTTTGAAGAAAATTAATTTTATCATTTTTGGTAAGTTGATAGAAGTAGTAAAAGTGAAAAAAAGAATGTTGTTTATGCATAAGAGATTTAGTAAAAGGAGTAGACTTGAGTTTGGCATATTGTAGATTGTGAGCACAATCTTGATAGATTATAAAACTTTTAAAGATCATTGCTTAGAAGTAGTCAGGTATATGGTTTGCTTTTATAAAAATACAAGAAATGTTTTTAATTTTGCAAATTCTATATGTATAATAATGTTAAGAGTGAGGGTTGATTGCAGTTGGTTTGGGTCTGTATGAAAAGTAGAGAGAAATAGAATAGTAAGATTTAAAAATATAAAGATAGTTGAGCTTAGTAAAAAGAAGTTTTGTAAATTTG